AGTATTCAATGCTTGCTTTGAACAAACTTTTCATCTATTCAATTTGACAGTAAAAGATAATGCATGCAAGAATTACAAAATACTGATTATTATAATATCTTTTACGAAAGCATCAAAAAATGTAAATTAATTTGCGTATTTACGTGTTATTTTGTAAAACGAATAAAACATAGATCTCTTAAAAATTAAGACAAATCGAGTGAAAAGATCTCTTACTATGCAATTATCTGACACGCTGCTGCGAAAATTTCGAATCTCCTGCAGGCTACCCCAAGGCCGAGGTTTGTCAGACTTGCTGGAATACGAGTGACAATAGGGCGGCCGCGCGTATTCCATTGAAGAATTGATGTCCTCTAAACTGTGCACCAATGATTTTGTTACTTGGCCGCAGTACACCTTCGGGCTGAGCTTGTTCGTGGTATCCATAAGATGCTTCAATCTCTCCGTGGATACCGTCTTAGGTGATTCCACAGCGTCCTCGATGCCGTCAAGCAACGCCGTTGTACAAACAGACGCAAGAGATCCAACGGACGTACTGGCTAACATGGAACGTGCCGCCGCCACAGCAGGAGCAGATGTTCCAGCGCAGGTGGTGGTCGTACCCTCCCCACTCCCCGCTGTGTGTCGCATCTCTGAAAAATATATTTCGTAGTTCCCCATCGTTGCCGCACTCGTCACTACATTCGCATTTGCTTCATCCCAAAACGAATTCCAATTCAATTTCGGATAGATATCCGATTAAAAAAAGAAAAAAATATGAACTTTAAAAAAAAATTATATCTCGTTATATGTTGTTTTCATGTCAAGTTACCTTTAAAAAGATCGAGTTTCGATTCTTTATTCCATAATTTGGCTTCTGAAGTTGCGCGAACCATTAATCGATGTCCTGTAACCTCATTGACAGGCTCCCTGGATGATCGCGCACTTACATTCTGTAAATGAATTATCCATGTATGAGACAGAATATGATGGCGAAATGTTATAGAACAAACTACCCAAGTGACAAGTCGTTTAAAATATCTAGCGTATTCAATTATTTTAGAAATAAATATGCGTAATATACAATAAATTAACATAAAAAGATAATCAATCATGTTCATGAGATTAAAGATAAAAATCAAATAAACATTAAAGAGCTTATGAGCCAAGCTAAGTGTTTTAACATATAGATATATAAATGCTTAAATATATAAATATATAAATGCAATAAATATATAGTAAATTATATTTTTAAGTTGTTGCAAAGATCTCTAACAAGAGTATTAAAAATTTCAAGATATTTATATATAAAATTTATGCAAAAAAATTATAAATTTGATCATACAAACAAATGTTATATTCTCATAAATTTTGTATTCTTGTATTCTTCCTACAGTCTATTTCAATGATACAACAATAATTTTAGTGTTACCCGAAACATAAATTAAAATTGTTTTAAAATTAAAAAACTTAAAGATAATGAAGAGAATTTAAAGTTGATAAGTTTAAGAATATCTACAAAATTTATATAAAATAGAGATAATATTGACTAGAATAATAAATTAATTTATAAAAAGTACCCTGTATTGCATATTAGAACAGTATTGTCTTCTTTGTTCGTAATCGTTTGCCATGTTTTTACCCGAGCAGCTGCCATAATCATCTTTAAAGCCAATTCCAGAATCACTGTTGCTCGAGTGAGCAGTCGACGTGCTAATGTTGCTCGGTTGAGGAGAAACAGTGTCGAGGCGTATGCGCGCCTCGTTGTAAGGATTCGTCTCCCCGTTGCTGCAATCAGATATATACAACGTCTGTATGGCACCAATAAGGCTCATACAACTATCAGGAAACTCTTGGCAGACGTTCAGCTCTGACGATTTCGTGCACATAAATCCAAATACGTTACATGCACTGGAGTGTACCTCGTGGTCAATTAATTTATAATAAATAGTGAAAACGTGACATGAGTTTGAGACGATATCATCCGTGTTTTTCATAGACTTGGTTAATATCCCGAAATACTGCTTATCCTGCTCGGAGAAAGAGTTACAAAATATTATTCGATAGGAGGGGTACTCAGCGATGACGCGATTCTCCGAGTTGGTGAGCTTAATGTTGGCAACATGAATGGTAAGAAGAACGGTAGTTGGATTTCGTTTCTCAGCCTTCAATCTCTTAATGCATTTCCTTAAAACCTGCAACGGCAAGAATAAATAAAATAATACTTCCTATCGTGCCAAGAAAATTTACTATATCCATTTAATGATTAAAAACATTAAAACATTAAAAATACCGCGAGCGAGTATTTTTATTTCTATTATCTAAATTTATATCTTTTTTTCTCATATTAAAGATACTTGAATTTTCAAATTTTTTTCATCAATTACTCTCTTTATTAAAATAAGAAATCTTAAAATAAGAAATTTTTTAATCCTACCTTTGAGATATCAGAAAAAAAAATCTATTTTAAAAAATAGAAATAAATAGAAATTCAAAAAGTAATTACCTGGTGGTTTCTAATGTTAGAATTATGATTGTAATTAATAAATTATGAATTCAAAGATTAATTTGTCTAGAATGTACCTGCATCATAGAAGATGGATGTAACTGATTTGGTATATCGATAGTGCCAAGATAACCGACGACCGTTCTATGCACAATCTTTTCAGAGTCTCGTTTATGAGACACTGGTGGTGGTGGTGGCGGGAGCGGGCTCGTCATGTTCCATCGATAATAATGCAAGCTAGAATAATTATACTGATCTTTATTATCGGGCGCCACCAGACCAGTTGGGAGCGCATGAAACATCGCTCCACTCTGCAAATCCCTGACCACTTTCGCTGCCCGGCATTGCAACTGCAAAGCAGTCGCGTTAGTGGCCCGTGGCTTGTGCGCATACTTGGGCTTGGATCTTACAGTGGCCAAGCCCTCCTCATCCGAGGAATCAGAATAATAGTTTTCAGCGATCTGCAGCCGCAGAATGCCCTTGGAGCTTCCGATTAGCTGCACTACATCATCATGCGGCACCTTGCTGACGTTGTGACCATTGACAGCGACTAGGTAGTCACCAGCGCGCAGGCCGGCGCATTCCGCTGGACTACCCTGCACGATGCAGCTGAGTATGCACGGCTGCTGGCCCGATATCGTAAAGCCGAAGCCTTTTGCGCCACGCATCACTTCGACCGCCCGTACCCCGTAGTTCACCCGCTTCTTTTTCCGCCTGTTCTGATGCATCTCGTGTTTGTCGCGCGCAAGTCTTGGGGCTCGCACGCACGTCACGAGGGCTCCCCGAGGAGGCGCGCACGTCTATCACCGGTCTCGAGCGGCTCGCTGAGATAACTCGTTGACCCCATAATGCGCTTCACGCCTACACGTTGACGACGAGCATCCTCCTCCGTGACGTTCCACGCGACAACCTGTCGTTGACGAGTCAATCCTGACTGTCTCGGGACACCGCTACTATATACTCCACTCTTATCCGCGAAGATCATTCGTAGATCACCATCGAGCAACTCGATTCTGACTTCAAATGGCAGAAATTAGAAAATTTCAGACGCGTTCGTTACTCTGCGTCGCTCGTCGACCGCGAACCTCACCAACAGCTAGTAGCAAACTCTACGAGCAAATGTTTTGGAATGTGTCCATCGAGAAGACTAGAAAAGTAGGTGATCGACCTTGTGGCAAATACGTTTAGTCTCCGAGGGTCGCCAAGTGTTCGGTTCATAGAGCGCGCCGTCATCGTAATCGTCGAGAAGCAATTGGCTGTTGACAAGAAAGTTCTGTATTTTTCTTGTTGATAACTCGAAGGCCTATTCTACAATGCATCGTGTGTCGGTGTCGTAGTCGTAAGAATCGGCCAATCACAATCGAATATTTTCCCTACATTCGACTGTGATTGGTCAATTCTTGTAGCTTGTGACACCGACGGATGGCATCCGTTTGACTACATCCCGATTGATCACTAGCCACTCACAGCGCTTGAACAGAAAAATTCTAGGCACCGGCCCCTGTGAATGGTTGTGGTCAATTGGAACATGATCAAACGAAACGCTCCCACCCTACCACACACACACACACATCGCGCGCGCGCACGCATCGCATACGACGCACTGTAGATAGGCCCAACCGGCACGCTCACATCTCGGGTCTGTTCGTTTTATTATTCCAATGTATAATGATCCGTTTAGTAAATAATTATAATAAATCAAGTGAACATGTTAAACTCGTCAATTTTGTAATAAGTTTGCCAGTTTCATTATAGAATCGATTTACTGTTTATAATATTAATACCGGCTGTGTTCTAATATCCATGACTAGTATTGAAAAGTTATAATATATGTAACACGACGATGATATATTTTCAATGACTGAATATCTGAGCACAATCTGATATATTAATTTTATGATTTATCATCTTGATATTTTTATACACACACACACACACGCGCGCGCGCGCGCGCGCACACACACACACACACACACACACACACACACACACTATACAAGAAACTAAATTATAAAGATGTGTGTGTAACATATCTTTACAACTTGGTAATTTTATTAAAAATTGCATCCTTGTACACTTACTATCTCTATGTTTAATTACCCAGATAAATATTTTAGAAGTATCACTTTAAAATTAGTTAAAACCATTCGATTCCTTTCTGTATAAAAATAAAGTCTGAAAAAAAAGTGCTCGATGCTATAAAAAAAAGGTAATGAACGTTAAAAGTGAAGGGAAATTTATATCGACATACACTCGATGCTTACATGCTTTCAGAATCATTGTGATGATTTCATCTTTGTTGCTTATTAAATGTTAAGGTCAAATACGAGAAAGAATTGCAAGCACGATATAACC